AGGAGAAAGTGGAAAGTTGGCAGAGGTGGACCAGGGGGCGTAGAGTGGAGCGCCAAGGTGTGGGCTCGACCTTGCCATCCAGCTACGTCCTCCCCGCCTCCGGTCTTCTTGGCTCTGCCTTGACACCGGGTCCAGGTGAGGGAGGAGGAGAGAGCGCGGTAGCTGCAGCGCAAGTCTGCGTTTTTACTATAAACTTATTCACGCACGAATCCCCGTCCCTGCTACCCCCTGCTGTAGAGCACATGGTGAACATCATCAGCAACGACGGTCGAGCTATCGGGTGTTTAATCATTGTCTCTGACAAACCTCCTCGCACATAAAGCGCGCTCCGGTAAGTGGGACTCTGATAAATTGAGTTAACTCCTTATTCGGGATACGTTCTAAAGAACGGAAACAGACAGTATGCACTCCCGCTAACTGACTACGCATCAGTAAACAGGTGATTTTCAGAAAACAAAACTGAGAGGAAAGTCCTCATTTTCGACGGACAATGGAACTGTCTACTGGCCGGGGGTTCAGTCTTGTGCTGTGCATAGAATTTTACACTGTACTGACTAAGCGCGCAAGCGGAACGCTGGCGGTATTGGTGAGCCGGCATCCGGAATGACAACGTCGCGGCCGAAGACGGCTAAGACAAGGGTGGATTCCGCAACGTCGGGAGTCTGAACAAGGCATCGTAGTGGCGTCTATAAACAATTCCATGTTTGCCAGTACGTCAAAGCTAACACAGATCGGTCTGGCCACACAGTACTGCCACTCGTTCGCACAAAACTAGACTGCCAAAGCGGAATTTTTCGCACACAAGAAAAGTCGTCCTACTGGATGAAATTAGAAACCCACAGACTAACATAGATTATTGCTGGCTGGCTGGGCACGGCAGTTGCATTTACAACTGCCTTTGTGATAATACAGCAGAACAAAGCTCGACGGGGATGAGCGTAATTCAATGGAGACCAGAAAAATTCAAAATCACGCAGATGAAATGTGGGTGACAGGGCGGGTTGAGGTGACGTAGAAGTGACAGCCGAGTTCACCGATGAGAACTGCGAGATCACATATCCATCGGCAAGAAAATGCCCACGAAAGACATGAACATACTAGACTTAACTGTAGAACTTCAACGCGAGCTGTCGGTCCACGAAACTCCTGTACAGTGTTATCAAAATTACAGCAAACTGGAGTCATGTCTCCAGAACCTGAGTTGGGAGGCTGGCCTCGTATGGCTTACTTATTCATTATACAAATACGATGACACCTAATCTAGCCGGCTCCAGGGCTCTGTCACACACTACAAGGAATCCGTTGCTTTCGATGGAATTCCGTCTCCAGTAATAAAGACCAGACATCGACTGTCCACGGACAGTCTCCAGAGAACTGGTGACGTTCAGTCTAGAACAACACTGAGTTCGTGCAACAAGAGAGAGAAAAGGCGTCCAGACAACCTAAGTTTTCTCTCATGGGTGGCCAAAGATGCCCTCGCATGGTTATCCCGGCGAGTGCGGATTGTTCCATTTGAACTTCCGTGCGCTTACCTTGGAGCAACTCTCTCAAGCAAATGTAGTCGAACAGCCGTAGTTTCCGCTGGCCTTCTACCCACATGGCCTAGGGTTCACAAGCTTAGAAGAGGACGAGCTGAACGGATATCTGGTACATGCAGATTTCTGCAGGGATTGGTAGAGCTCAACGAGGTTATAGGCATATTTGAAGGCTCGCAAAAATCTAATACAACGGGAGCGTTTGCTGTCTATTCGAAGTCTGAATAGTTAGTCAGAAATGCTCATTTGCAACTCCAGTTCAGCAGGTCGGCCGTCTAACTTATCCAAGAAGTGTGTTCTCGATATGATAAACAGCCGCATTCCGTTGTGAATCGGAATTATGAGTGAGTTAACACCAGTAGGATGTGGATAGGAAAATTTAAAAGGACGGCTTATTATAAACTGTCCTAAAAACTTGTAAGTGTCACTCATTAGGCGTTCGTAGGAGTTAGCTTTTGACCTCCCGAAATGTATTATTCCTTGGAGCACGTTAAGATGGATAAAAACACCTCGCGGAGGCGCATACACCAATTATACTGCTGACTAGTAGCATGAAGGCAAGCGACAGTTCGACCATCGGTTTCGATGATGTCCACCGTGTGCCCCACAGACTGCATTGTGGGAGCAGGGACGGTGACTTACGCAGGGGTTTATAGTGCCGGTAGACTTGCGTAGCATCTACCTACACTCTCTCCTCCTCCCTCGCCCGAGCCCGGTGTCAAGACAGTGTCAAGAAGGCCGGGGGCGAGAGAGGCCGCAGGTGGATGGCTAGGACGGATCCTCGCCTTGGCGTTCCACCACACCCCCTGGTCCAAACAACAAATAACCAGGATTTCAACCAACGCGACAGAGATTTGGAGGCTGGCACGGCCGAAGCCGCACCTGGGCGTGCCGCCAACGCCTGGCTCGGATCCCACACTGTGATGGGAGTGCCATAAAGGCCACATTAAAAAGGAGCCATTGCAGCCTGACTCTCAGACCGCCTCCGGTCAAGGAGGAGGTCCAAGTTACCCCGTCAGTTGGCAACCTTCCAAGCCACGGCTTTTAGCGCACCGTGATAGCTTCAAGCGCGTCAGATGGATTATAGTGAGGAGGAAGTGCGCTGAGTCGTCGACCTCACTCTCCCTTCCCACTCCTACACCCCAGCCGCTGTCCGAGCCGATCAGCAGACTGGAGTGGTGAATGGGCGCGGTGGCTGTCATGGTCGACTGACCATGACTGCGCGCGCCACAGCACGACCTGGCCCCCCATACACACAAACACCAAGATTTCACACAACGGGGGTAGAACGGCGTGTCTCTCACTTGCGTGAGAGTGCCGTGGAAGGTGCTGTTTCAGCCCGTTCCCAGCCCACCAGTCCGCCACTCCACACAACACACACACACACACACACACACACAACGCGACGAACTGCGTGAACCGGGAGCGGGCGTCAATCAGCAACCTTCCTATCCACGACGCTTGACGTGTCGGGATAGTCTCTGACACAAGTCACCCGTACAGCCGAAGCCGCATGGGGACCGAGTCGAGATGCGGACTTCCCACTTGCGTGGGAGGTGGCAGTTGGGTGCGTGAGGTGTGTGAGTGTTGATTTCTGGTGGGGTGATGGTGGTGGTGGAGGAGGTAGGGAGTGAGTGAATGTGTGGTGTGGCCGGCGGTTGTCTACCGCAGGTCGTCGTGGATGCTCATGTGGCCGAATAGGCCCATGCGATGCCTGAAAGTGCGAGGACAGTGTGGGCAGTTGAGACGAGCTTGGTGGGTAAAGTTGGGTGCTCCAGGCGCTGGTTCGCCAGTCTCTGTGCGACGGATTCGCAAGTGACCGACCAGGCCGATGTGTGAGGTGACGGTACGGTCGCAGTGACGGCAGGTGTAGTCCTGATCCTCATCCCTGGAGTCGTGGGGGGTGGTGGTAATGTCGGTTGCTGTGCGCGGGACAGTCGCCTGAGCGGCCGCCGTTGGAGTAATGGGCGAGGAGGAGGAGGAGGAGGAGGAGAAGGAGGAGGAGGATGATGATGGAAGTGGTGGATCAGAAGAATTGTCAGGGTTAGTTGGCGGCGGAGAGGAGGAGGAAGAGGCAGGCGGGGGGACGATGGTTGGTGCCGTTCGAGAGGCGCAGTTAATCCGAAGATGTCCAACAAGTCCGATTCGAGCCCGGAATGTCCGTTGACATCGAGGACACGTTGGAAGCGGTTGTGCGGCGGCGTTGCTTACTGGGCGAAGTTGTGATTTGCGGACTTCACGTTTCGCTTTGGCGGCAGCGATGCGGTTGGCTTCGTAGATCGCAGCGCCTGTCTTCACTGTCCTCCTCCAGGTCGGTCGATCGAGTGCGAGCTCCTCCCAGTTGGTGGGGTTGATTTGCCTTGCATTTCAGGGAGGACTTCAGGGTATCCTTGTAACGGCGAATCTGGCCTCCTTAACGACGAGAACCCGTCGCGACGTCTCCGTAGAAGAGTCGTTTGGGTAGTCGCTCGTCGTCCATGCGCAACAGGTGGCCGCTTCAGCGCAGCTGCATTTGCCTCAGTATGGCGTAGATGCTGAGGATTCCCGTCCGTTCCAGCACATCAGTGTCGGGGATTCGATCCTGCCAGTTCAGCCTCAGGATGCGACGAAGACAACTGAGGTGGAAGTGGTTCAGTCGACGTGCCTGCTTTGCGTACACCGTCCAAGTCTCCGCTTTATACAGTAGTGTCGGCAGGATGACGGCCTTGTAGATCTTCAGTATCGTGCTCAGCTGAAGACCGTGGCGATTCCAAACTGTGCTTTGGAGGCGACCGAAGGCTTGACTGGCTTTCGAGATCCTGTTGGCGACTTCGTCGTCGATCTTGCTGTTGCGGGAGATGTTACTGCCCAGGTACGGGAAGTTCTCCACCACCTGCAGTTGGGTTCCGTTCACGCTGATTTGCGGCGGCGCGTTGGGGGCTGTGGCTGAGTTGGGTGGCGGTTGGTGCATCACCACCGTCTTCTGCGTGTTAATGACCAGACCGAAGTTCTCGCAGGCGGCGGAGAATAGGTCCATGCTCCGTTGCATCTCCTCTTCCGAGGTGGTGTTCAGGGCGCAGTCGTCGGCGAAGAGGAGTTCGTGAACGGTGGTTGTGGATACGAGCGATTGGAAGTGCATACGCCGTTGATTCAGCAGGTGACCGTCCGTCCTGTAGGCGATGCGGATCCCGGGGCGTTCGTCGCGGTAGGCGTCCATCAGCATGGCAGAGAACATAAGACTGAAGAGGGTAGGCGCCAGTACGCAGCCCTGCTTCACTCCATTGGTCACTGCGAATGCCTCTGAGACAGCTCCGTTGTCCGTGACTCGCGCCATCATACCGTCGTGCAGCTGACGCACCATCTGCGTGAATCGCTCCGGACAGCCGAATTTCTGCATGATCTTCCACAGTCCTTCACGATTCACCGTGTCGAAGGCTTTCGTCAGGTCCACGAAGGTAGAGTACAGGTGGGTCTGCATCTCCTGACACTTCTCCTGAAGTTGACGGGCGGCGAAGATCATATCCGTGGTCCCACGATGACGACGGAAGCCGCATTGGCTTTCCGGCAGAAGGCCCTGTTCTGGATGGTTATTGAGGCGGTTGAGGAGGATGCGAGCGAAGATCTTCCCGGCGATGTTCAGCAAGGAGATGCCGCGGTGATTGTCGCAGACTTGGCGATTCCCTTTGCGCTTGTAGAGATGCACGATGGTTGCGTCTTTGAAATCTTGCGGGACTTCGCCTTGACGCCACATCTCCTGGAAGAGCGCAGTCAGGTGATCCATCAGTTGGGGACCTCCGTGCTTGTAGACCTCAGCAGGGATCGCGTCCGATCCGGGTGCTTTCCCGCTGGAGAGCTGCTGCACGGCCCTGATGGTCTCCTGGAGAGATGGCGGGAGGTCGAGGTCCACGTTGGTCTCCACTTGCGGCAAGCGCTCGATGGCGGCGTCGGAGATGACGGAGGGGCGGTTGAGGACGCCTCGAAAATGCTCGGCCCATCGCTGCAGGATTTGCGTCTTCTCAGTCAGGAGAGTGTTGCCGTCGGCGCTGAGGAGAGGAGCAATAATACTAAGACGGCATGCTATCGACCTCAGTGATTGTTCAGTCTTAGCATTTGGCTTACAATCGTGAGTACAGATTTGCGCCGCAATTGCGGCTTATCAAAACACCGGTGATACGAAGGAGGAAAGACATAATAAGAATTAGACATGATTGGAAAGCCTCAGGATACACTTTTTTGCTTGCCATAGGTTTCTGGAAAGTATGACCTTGCATATAAATACGACAGATGGGCGTGACTGCTTAAATCAGAACGATAATGAGGGAGCTGCAGCTCTGGGTCTACTACGTCCAATTTAGCAATGAATTCAGATAATAAGCTTTTTGACCTGGGGGTTAGTTGACAAAGCAATCCTTTGCATGTAATAAGTTCAAAATTGAGAACAACAGCACTTTTGTTAAACAGGTACTGACAACGTACGGCTAAGCTCTCTGTGCCGAGGCAATGTGAACCGAATTAAATGGGTACGCACACACAAACTTATAAAGTAACATCTTGCTTATTTCATGTGAGTAAACAGCTTTCGTAAATTGACAGAATATTATTTTCGCGAATGGGGCAACGCGTCCACAAAGTAAGTTGAAACCTGACGTGGTCATCTGTTTCATTGCCTTCGGAAGAGGGGAGTGGACATAGCCTGAAGAACCGATGAATGTCCTGAAACAGTGGATTCAGAGTGGCCACATCCATTAATGTTGCGTCTTTGGAGGTACTCTACTGAGTTTTTGGGCATCGTCGAAGATTCGCCAACACCAGGAACCACTTTTGTCAGCACATTCCCCTGCAAGATAGAAAGTTGAACGTGTAAATAACGAAAATTCTGCAAAATTATAATAATGATAAGTGAGCATAAAAGGCAGAAAAGGACCTGTTTATCAGAAAAATCATATAAAAATGGCGTGTGGATGTGCGATTGCTTGAATGGATTCCAGAGGGGTCAAAGCATCGGTCTGCTTGACATAAAGTAGATTCCTGTCTGGCACTGGGGCATTACCAACCGCCTTGGTCATTAATGTCCATGGTCATTGTATTTCGACACTGACGCAGAAATTGGGGGCGAACTCTCGGCCATAGAACCCGCGTGTTCCACAGAACGAATGTAGCACCGGTGACTAACGCTTAAATTAGTTTATAGTGAGAGTGGATCGCGAAGCATCTACCGCTCTCTCACCTCCATCACCCCCCACCTGACTCCGATGGTAAGATAATGCAAGTACTACCGGAGGTGGACTCAGGCACAGTGCCCAACAAAGCTGGACAGCCCATCTATGCATGCCACACACGACCTGGACCCCAGCACATGCATCAGGCCACATCAGAGACGACTCGGAGCTCGCATAAGTGAAAAGTGCCCTAGAGGTCACATTGAGAAGGAGCTATTG